TGTTATACATGGGGTGTAAAAATAATAATAATAATTTGCTTTGTTTCTTGGTGATTGTTTTCTTAGATTGCTTTAGAAGGAAACTTCTTATATGAAGAATTATGTCTATTCTGTTTTACACATAGCTAACGCGTTGATTTTTGTGGTACGTGTGCTTTTGCAGTTAATACTCTTTGCATCTTATTCTAGCAAGGATTAAAAAACGCCTCGAGTGCAGGTATCATTGTGATTTAAACAAGACTTATAGTTGTTAATCTTACTGTTGAATTATTCCTTCTTTGGGGTTATTAATGTTTTTTACTGCCTATAGACTTGGAATACAAAAGCTATCCAAGATTGCATCTTTATTGCCACTTCTCAAGTTATCTTCTTATCTCTTTCATTTTTAGTTATCTGTGTTTGTTCTACAGACTAAGGTTATATGGTAAGATTATCTGTTCTTTTATTACTGTTGAATTCTGTCTTAACAAGGATATATGCTAAGGTGAACTAATTCCTCAAATTCTCAATTCTAGTGTGTCTAAGTTTTAAATGAGGTTTGGAACTTTTTTTTGGTTCTTTTTATGTTTTGGCCCCTTTGTGTATTTTATAATTTTTGTGTATTCATGCAGGTGGCACGTAATGTGTTTGAAGCAGGGTTGAAAAACTTTATGCATGAACCTGAATACATTCTTGAGTGAGTTTCCTTCCCTTTTTGGCATCAAAATTCTATATATATATATAAGCATGAATCTGTTGCCTTGTTCAAGTTAGTAGTCCATTTTTCAGCAATTGTTCCTTTTAATTATTTGTGATTCTTTGAAGTAAATTCTCTCTGCATGTTCTTTATTTAGTGGCAGTTATACTAACCGCAGCTATTTTAACAACAAAACTTAAATCATAAGATAAAATGCTAGTAACCATTTTATCGGCTGTTTTCATTAACCATCTTAAATTATAAGTTAATTTATTTTTTGGGTTATTTCCATCTTTTCACCCACATCTCAATGTTGGAACAACACAACACAACATATAAAGCAATTCACATTAGAAAGCAGGATGCATTCCTAAAATTAATCTCTCGATATATCCTCCGCTTTCTCTCTCTATATGCATATATGTGGTCTCATCATTCTATACATATGACAATTCATCTTTCTTTCTCTTTGTAGATCTTGTATGCTAAACTACTAAAGTTTGAAAAATCTTCATATAGAGATTATGCATGGATAAATCTTGGGTTAATTTGCAGCGAAATACTTTGGAATATATAGAAGGGGTAAACAAATTAATTGATTTTGCTATTGAGCATAGATGTATTGAAGGAAGAATATTGTGTCCTTGTGTAAAGTGTAAATTTAGGTATTGGTTATATAAATTTGACGTGAAAGAACATTTAATTTGTGATGGGATTGTACCTGGATATGTTAATTGGATTTGGCATGGTGAAGGGGGATCTTTAGACACTTTTAGTAGCACTCCTAATGTTGTGCCTACTAATGTGCAAATTGAGAATCCTGAAGTAAATATCATTCATGATGCTTTTGCACATATTTCACATGGTATAAATGAACCTTCAACATCACAACAAACACTACTTGGGGATGGAGTATTACCTAGAGAGGATAGTGAAGACAGTAAAATATTTTATGAGTTGCTCAAAGATGGAAATCAAGAGTTGTATGAAGGGTGTAGCAAGTACTCAAAATTATCATTTTTGTTGAAGTTGTACCACATCAAGTGCTTGGGTGGAATAAGCAATAAAGCAATGTCTATGATTTTTGAATTGTTAAAAGATGCTTTTGAACAAGCAAGGCTTCCTGATTCTTTCTATGAGGCAAAAAAAACCATCAATAGACTTAGTCTTAATTATGTTAGCATTCATGCATGTCCAAATGATTGCATGCTATACTGGGGAGATGATAAAGCTGCAGAAACATGCAAAGTATGTCATACTTCAAGATGGAAACAACCAAACGGGAAGAATGGTGGTGATGTGCGTTGTGGTAGCAAGTTTAAAAAGAAACCTTCTAAAGTGTTGCGTTACTTCCCTCTTAAGCCTAGGTTGCAACGGTTGTTTATGTCTTCTAAAACTGCTGAGTATATGAGATGGCATGCTATGGATAGTAACAGATGGGTTGATGCGACATCCTAGAGACTCTGAATCATGGAAGCGATTTAATGAAGTCCATGTAGAATTTGCTGCTGACCCACGAAATGTTAGACTTGGGTTAGCTGCGGATGGTTTCAATCCATTTGGACATCAAAGTTCTACTCATAGCACTTGGCCTGTGATTTTAATTCCTTATAATTTGCCTCCATGGATATGTATGAAACAAACCTCATTTATTTTGTCTATGATTATTCCTGGGAAAAAGATGCCAGGGAATGATATAGATATTTACATGCAACCATTGATTAAAGAGTTAAATGAGTTGTGGAGTTTTGGAATAGAAACATTTGATGCTTCACAGGGTCAGTTTTTTAAACTACATGCAGCTCTAATGTGGACCATTAGTGATTTTCCTGGGCTAGGTAACTTATCTGGGTGGAATACACATACAGGGCTAGCATGCCCCTCATGCAACTTTGATTTTTTGCCAAATCGCCTTCCACATAGTAGGAAGTGGTGTTTTATGGGTCATCGTCGGTTCTTAGGGTCTTCTCATCGGTATAGACATCACAACTCTAAATTTGATGGAACCAAAGATTTGAGAAGTCCGCCAAAGATGTTGTCAGGTTCAGATGTTTTGAATCAGCTTGCAGATATCAATATTACATTTGGGAAAAACCTAGAAATGACTGAGAAGGGGAAAAGATCACGAGTGAGAAGAATTGAAGATGGTGATACGCAACAATGGAAGAAGAGAAGTATATTTTTCCAACTCCCTTATTGGGAATTCAATTTGTTGCGCCACAACCTTGATGTCATGCATATTGAAAAAAATGTTTTTGACAATGTGTTGTTTACTTTGCTAAATGACTCTGCAAGATCAAAAGATAATCTAAATGCTCGAATGGATTTAGTGTCAATGGGTATAAGAGATGACCTTTGGCCTAATGAAAATGGAAAATACTCTCCAAGTTGTTTTACAATGACAAATATAGAAAAAGATGTATTTCTTGCAACACTAAAGAGTGTATTACTGCCAGATGGTTACTCAAGTAATATTTCAAGATGTGTTGATTTGAAGAATCGCAAGATACATGGATTGAAAAGTCATGATTGTCACATTCTTATGGAACATCTATTGCCAATTGCCATACGTAATCTATTACCAGATCAAGTTTGTATGGTTTTGGTAGAATTGGGTTCTTTTTTCAGACAAATATGTAGTAGAGTATTAAATGTCAAAGAGCTTGATAACCTTCAAAGTCGACTTGTGCTAACATTATGCCATATGGAAATGATATTTCCACCATCATTTTTCACAGTAATGGTGCATTTAGTTGTTCACCTTGTTGATGAGGTTAAGCTTGGAGGTCCTGTTCCATACCGATGGATGTACAGCATTGAGAGGTGACTAAATTTTGGATATTTAAAGTTTTCTTTATTAGATTATCGATAAATGCATCTACTAATGTCTTATTTCTATATATTTAGGTACTTAGGACATTTAAAGTCTTTTGTACGCAACCGAGCAAACCCAGAAGGTTCAATAGCTGAAGGTTATATTGCTGAAGAATGTCTTACATTTTGCTCAAGGTATTTAGAAGGGGTTGAAACAAGGTTTAACCGATCTAGGCGTGTTGATGATGTGCCATTTTATGCTGAAAATATTCAAAGCAATATCTTCAAACAAATTGGTCGACCAGTAGGCAGTGTTTTAACTTTCCAACTAACTGATATAGAGAAACAACAAGCACATCGATATGTGCTAATGAATTGCAAACATGTTGACAAATACGTTGAGTAAGTAACATCCAAACTTTTGTATTTTGGTGAGAAATAACATATTATTTCAATTGTTACAAATGTGTTGTTATCACATACAGGGAATTTACAGTTTTAACGAAGAGACGACTAAGAAGGCGGACGAGATCTTCTGCGGAGATTCAAAAAATAGTTAATAGAGATTTTTCCAATTGGTTTGCAAAGAGAGTAAGAATTTCACCTCAAATCAATATTTTACTTCAAAATTAATTTACTAATACAATATCATTATGTTTTAGATCCTAAATAATGACAATCAAGAGCAAGTGCCAGATGACATTATGTTTTTAGCAAGAGGTCCACTTACTCATGCTAGAAGATTTTCTTCGTATAACATTAATGGTTTAAGATTTCGAACAGTGAACCGAGAAGAAGGACTGAAGTCTCAAAATAGTGGAGTATTTGTTATTGCTGGAACTCCAAGTGTTGCAAGTAGTCGTGATACTCATGGGGTTTTTGGAGATGTTGCTTATTATGGAAAATTGGTTGACATCATTGAACTGAATTACTACAGCAAATTTGTGGTTACACTATTTAAGTGTATATGGGCTGATACGACTACTCCAAGAGGGACAAGAATAGATCATTATGGCTTCACCGAAGTTAACTTCTCTAGAACAATACATGTTGGAGATAGTATAGATGATGAACCATATGTGTTAGCTGAACAAGCTCAGATGGTGTTTTATGTCACTAATGAGTTGGAGAAAGATTGGAATGTTGCAATACCTTTCAAACCAAGAGACTTTTTTGACATGGGTGAAAATGCAGACAGTAGCGTATATGATTGTACTTCAATCTCACGTGAAAACCAAAATCCTGTGGTTTTAAATGAGATTGAAAATTTGCAGTTAACAAGAGAAGAACTAAATGATGAAATAACCACTGTTGTTGATAGCGGAATTGAAAGAGCAGATAATGATTAAATTGTACAGGTCAACATGCTTACTCTCCTAGAGCTTTACTCTTTTTCTTCTTATTTTTTGTTCATTTCTGTTTTATTCTTTGAGATCACTAACCCTTCAACTGAACTCAAACGGAAATTTGTTTTTTATTTGATGTGTAGGTATGCTAGAGTAGAAGAACTCACTCGATTATGCAAATAATCTGCTTTCTGGAAATAGAAAGTCTAAGGATGTTATGGCATTACAAATCTCTCGCGCAATGACATATTTACATGAAAATGGCATCATTCATCGCGACTTGAAGCCCAGTAAGTAATTTTCTACGGGCCTAACTTTTGCTGCTAGCTATTTTGCTTATTAGTCATCAAGCTAATTAATCTTATTGGATTGCAGATAATATTTTTCTATCAGAAAGCAAGAAGAGTGTGAAGCTTGGGGACTTTGGGCTGTGTAGGGAGGGTCTGGAAGGTGATTTTTCTGCTGATGTTGGAAGCTTTCCCTGGATGGCTCCTGAGGTAGTATTGCAACTTTAATTTATTAACCAACCATCCATATTAAGATGTATGTATGTGTCTGCTTGCATCATATATATATATATATATATATATATATATATATATATATATATATATATATATATATATGTCTTCCAACTGTTTCTGAGTAATTTTCCCTTCTCAAGTTTGTTTATTCCGTGATTGATGATAAATAGTGTCATGTATTGGAAGTACATGCATTTATAAATAAGTTGAGAGGTTTGCTTTGTTAGAGGTGTAGCTTTAAGCATTTGGAGGTCTTTAGGCCAGTTGATACACTTCTTGCGATTTACTTCCTCTTTGCTAAGATAGCATACCCAGGAAATTGATTCAATCTTGCTGTTTAAAAAAAAAAAAATCTTGCTGTTAAGTTTTCACCATTGTTATATCATTGGTTTTGTGTTTGGGTAGTGTAGGATCAAGGTGTAATAAGAATTTCAAACCCATTGATAAATGAAGATAATGTAATGTATTCTGCAGATTTTAGCAAAGAAAGGAGTTGTGATTCTACCAGACATCTATGCAAACTCAGGTGGATTTACTGTCAGCTATTTTGAGTGGGTTCAGGTGATTACCTCTGTTGCTTTCACCAGCAAACTTCTTACACAACTTACTAATGGATTAAAGATCCTAAATTATTGAATATGTTTAATCTTCCTTGTAGAACATACATTCAAGGGTTTATGTGGGATGAGGAGAAAGTGAATGCAGAACTTCATAAATATGACCAGGGGTTTATGTGGGATGAGGAGAAAGTGAATGCAGAACTTCATAAATATGACCAGAGGTTTTAAAGATGTCAAGGACTGAGATTGTAGATTATGTTGGTCTATCCACCAAAGGCTGCCTGTATCTGCATTTGAAGAATAATGTTTTGAACTGTCAGGGAATGAAAATGCATTACAGTTAAAGACCATGGAAGAAATATCTAAGCTGAGAAGCTACTTCTTTTAATACTATTGAATATTATTATTTGATAAATATTAGTTACAATTGATTTTTTTCAATTAAATGGGTACATAGATTTTATTTGTGATTGCAATACGCATTTGAATATAAAGATTTTGAAGAAATATAATTAAATGATAGTTATAAAAATATAATAATGTAATTATAAAACATTTAGCGACACTTAATTATGAAAATAAAAAATTATTTAGTGACACTTAATAACCGCCTCTAATATTTTAAAAAATAAATCAAGACAAATATTTAGCAACACTTACTAACCGCCACTAAAATTTATTCAAATAAATATATATATTTAGCGGCGGTTTTGTAACCGTCGCTAAATTTATTCAAATAAATATATATATATATTTAGCGGCGGTTACAAGACCGCCGCTAAATGCACCCAAAACCGCCGCTAAATGAGTTTTTCATTAATTCCCGCGGTTGTTGAAAATCGCCGCTAAATGCTTCGCGACACACTATTTAGACACGGTTGAATAACCGCCGCTAAACACACTAGTGGCAGTTTGGAACCGCCGCTAAACGCAAAAAAAACCGTCGCTAAATGCCTGATTTGGTGTAGTGATTTCTCTCCTTCTTGTCTCCAAGAATCTCTGAATTCTCCCGGTCTCTATTAGGGTTGAGGAAGGGGGGATTTTATAGTGGGTACAAAGTTGAGATGAAATAGGAATCTTGTACAAAATTGGACTCAAATTATAATTCCTATATTTTAAATAAAGAATTGAAGTTGGAATTGGAATTTGGAATTGAAGTTGAATTGGGAAAACATTGCAGCCGCTAATCACTTTGCATGTCGCGTCATTCTCGACGCGTCGAATTAAGGCTCGACGCGTCGAGCCTCTTTGGCTCAGTTTTGTGATGCTACTGGAAATTTTCGACGCGTCGAGCCCTCTGGGTCCCGGACTTGTCCAAAATTGCTCCAAACTCATCCTTGAACTTCCCTTGCTCATAGAATTGACCTACAATGGTTCAAAAACACTAACAAACACCGTAAAACATTCAAAACAAGTGTGAACCATAATTAAATGATAATAGCAAGGAAAATATGTATTAAATAAGCAAAATTAAAGAACTTAAATACTAAGATGATTCAAAATAACTATAATAACAAGCAAAGATGTGATAACATCAGTTTCTAAATGGTGATTTAGAGAAGGAAGTTTATATGAAACAACCTGAAGGTTTCTCTTCTAGAGGTGGTGAGGATTTGGTGTGTAGGCTTAGGAAGTCCATATACGGTTTAAAACAAGCCTCCCGTCAGTGGTATATTAAGTTTGACGGGGTTATTTCATCATTTGGTTTTGTTGAAAGTCCCTTAGATCCTTATATATACCAGAAAGTTAGTGGGAGTCAAATCTGTTACCTTGTTTTATACGTGGATGATATCCTACTCGCCACTAATGAGGTGGGGATGCTTCGCGACGTGAAACAGTTCCTTTCCAAAAATTTTGATATGAAAGATATGGGTAAAGCATCTTATGTCATTGGCATAAAGATTCATAGGGATAGGTCCCGGGGCATACTAGGTCTATCGCAGGAAACCTATATTAACAAAGTTTTGGAAAGATTTCGGATGAAAAACTGTTCACCGAGTGTTGCTCCTATTGCAAAAGGGGATAAGTTTAGTTTAGACCAATGTCCTAAGAACGAATTGGAAAAGGAGCGTATGAAGGATGTTCCATATGCTGAAGCGGTTGGATGTCTTGGCTATATTCAAGTTTGTACAAGGCCCGACATTGCCTTTGCCGTTGGTATGTTAGGGCGGTACTTGCATAATCCAGGCTTGGACCACTGGGGAGCTATGAAGAGAGTTCTGAGGTATCTAAAAGGTACTAAAGACTTCAAGTTGGGTTTTGGGCAGACGGACATCCTGGATGTTGTTGGTTATTCTGATGCGGACTTCGCTGGCTGTGTTGATTCTCGAAGATCAACTTCCGGGTACGTCTTCATATTGGCTGGTGGGGCAATTTCATGGAGAAGTGTTAAACAATCCTTAATAACTACTTCTACCATGGAAGCCGAGTTCGTGTCCTGTTTCGAGTCTACTTCGCAAGGTGTGTGGCTCAAGAATTTCATCTCCGGGCTTAGAATTATGGATTCTATATCTAAGCCATTGAAAATTTACTGTGACAACTTAGCTGCAGTCTTCCTAACTAAGAACGAAAAATGTGGGAGTCGAAGTAAACACATCGACATCAAGTTCTTAGCCATTAGGGAGCGTGTCAAGAATAAAGTTGTATTCATTGAACACATTAATACTGAGTTGATGCTAGCAGATCCCTTGACTAAAGGCATGCCTCCGTCTAAATTCAAGGATCTGATTCAGAAAATGGGACTTTCGTCCACTTTGTAATTTTGTATATACATTCAGTTTAATAATGAAATTCTTTTGCACTTAAGTTTTTCTTCAGCTACTTCGGATATTTTCTTTGAGTGTGTATACAATTCAGTTTATCTCAATAAGAAAATATACTTCAGTGGACTTGAAATGAACATATGGTTTGTTTCATTAAGTTTGATTACCTAAAGGACTCAGGGACAGTTTGCATTTGATCATAATGGATATTACTTGCGCTAAGGAGGACATGTCATTATGGTTGGTGTAAATCTTGTTCTTGGGTTCCGTATTTGCACCAAGTGGGAGAATGTAACGTTTTCCATTAATATTATTATTATTATTAAGATTATTATAACAATAATAATATTGAATAAGTGGTGCAAATCAATAGGCTGACTAAGTATTAGAACTTAGTCAGCATTAGGTAATTAGTTACCTACATTGATGGGATGTAGGTTATTTAGACTCCCAAGTCCTCTCACTGCTCGGTTGACGTATCATACACCTATCTAGAGTCACTGAGAGAAGTGAGAGAAACACAACTAAAACCTACGGAGATTCTACAGCAGCCCGAGGAACTTCTGTTCATCAGACCACGAGTCCCTGTTAATCAAGATCTAAAGCTATGGTTGGAGGTTGGTGATCTAAACTCTGTTTTAATAGCCACGTATTTATTAATTATCACGTGGATTATGTGTTTACAGATTAGACATTCAACTGGCATTAGAATATCTTTTCCAGGATGGAAATTTCTATTAAATATACTAAACCATAATTAATGGTTTTATTCAAGTATATCAAAATTTCTTTTAATCTCATCCACTTAGCCAACTGAACATGATGATAGATAGAATTTTAATATTCTATTAATGAACTGGTGAAATAAAATATTCAATTGATTATACAGGAACCCCTTTATAGGTTCCTAGTCAATAAATATTTATTTCTTACAAATTCTATAACCAAGAATTTCAATCATCAAGTTGAACTTATTAGCAGTGAGGACTCCTTAAAATAAAAATTCAACCTCCTCCATTTGAGTTATCATCAACTTTGGAGAATAAACCATTTTGATTTTAAGCTTTTAACTTTTCATGTTTCTTCTAAACTGAAGAATCATGACATCTTAAATCATAATCCATGATTTAAATTTAAACTTTCTTTTCACTACTAATTGCCAGTCATACTAGATAAACTAGTAAACTTGTTGGCTTTCAAAATTTTAACACATTCTCAATATGAGAAACTGTGTGTTAAATACATTCATAAATTTTTATGAATTTCATTATGTATACTTCATGCATAAAAGTTTCTGTATGCCTTTATAAGAAATATAACCGAATATTTCCTGGGCTTTCTGCCTTTATCAGAAATATAACAAATATTTCAAAAGCTTCCAGCCTTAATCAGAAATATATATAACATAATACTTCACACTTTCACAGGGATAAAATTATCTGCGTGCTAAAATAATCAATAATTTCATGCATGACATTGAAATTAATTCCAACTTACAATCATTAAACATTGTAACCATGCATAAGAAAACAACAAATTGATAACACCAAATTAATCCAAATTTGGTAGATTTACAGCACCTCAAGATCCAACATATTATACATGTATCTTGTATACTATGCATGCAACCGAGACAAAGTCACAGTATACAAATATTTATACACATGCATAAACATATCCTTGTATTTAACAGGCTATGCAAAATTCAAAAGAATCTCATGCATATCTTCCGGACATAATCCAGAACTTAACCAGTAATTAAATAAAACTTTTGTACCTGCCGAGGCCGAGACAAATATATAAATGGTACTATACTGATCTCTTCCGGCCTTTGATGCGCTCAAACCACTCACCCCACCGTGAGCAGAACATCTCTTCTCATGCCAATTAAATCATGGCTAACAAAATGATTTATTTAAATAAAATCATTTTACACATCTCCCTAATCATCTTGGCATAATTTGATATGCCCATGATTTTGAGTGAAAACGGAAATGAAACTTCATAGCATGTATTCAAACCACATGTACAACATGTACATAAGCATGCCATGAACACCATGCAAAACCGCACGGAAATCTTCTTGTACAATAAATAATGACAAACCCAAAAGTGATTTCTGTCATCCTCTCATCAACAAATTCGAAATCTCATTCCGAAAATATTACCGTGATGAGAACTTATTCTTCCATGCCTGACATCTTGCCTTCAAAACTTTCAAGGCAAAACCAATGATCACGGGTTTATAAATTTAAAGCTTATAGATTGTTGGAAAAAAGTGTTTGTATTATGTAATACATTTGAGATACAACAAAAATATAAGATACAACAGGGAACAGAAACTGGATCATTTGATATCTTCAGGCCTATAATCACTTTCCTATAAGCTTTAAATCTCCCTCTA